ACAAATTATTTAATTTATTATTTATTATTATTCACTACGGGTTTTGTTGTGCAATGGTTTATTCTCTTTAATTGCCCATGTACTGTAATTATTGATCAAACTCCAATTTCTGAAGTCACCATTCCGTTGTGGAAATCAAAACCGCCTATAAATATATCTAACATCCTGTGTCCGGGATAATTGTTTTCATGTACCACCTGCGCATACTCGCGCACTGTTCCACCCATTCCCTCAATTGTACGAGGTAAAACATAACATGCATTTGTCTTTGAAGGTCAATGTCACTAACCAAGATAAGGTATTAAACAACATCAATCTACTGTCAATCAGCGGTGTGTCCATCGTGGTTATAGGCACTGACAAGTTCCATACATTCTGATGAGAAGGCGAAGGAGATATTTTTCAAATACCCTAGAGCCATTTGAAATATGAACATAGATAATGCCGTGTGAATACATTAAAAGGGACGATTAACAATAATGTTATGTTGAACATTAGGGTACAGGAGACGGTGCGTATAAGTAATGGGAGTAATCAGTCTCGTATCTATCGACATTGAAACAGTTTAATTAAGTGCTGGTATTTACAAGGTATACAGTAATATAGGTAATGTTTTGCAATGTTATTTCATTAAATAGATAGAGATCCTTAACAACAAATGTTTGTAAGACGAGAATAGCACACTGAACAAAAAACAGCCTTTCAAAAATGCCGACAAAGATGCCTCTACCACTTGAATGAAACATGTGCATCTCCAAAGGGAGCGTGTCTACACCGACGATCGTCACATGGTCCAGTAGGTAATTGCTTTTCAAAGAACAAAGATGAAAAATTGATATTGGCTCAGGAAATAGTTCTTGCAGAAACTTGTACCGTCGAATGATGTAAAAAAAAGAGCTATACGAAATGTTTTAGTGCAAACGTTTCATAGTTTACAAAATCAATTTTGAATTCTCACATAAAGAGGATAAGGAAATATGAAAACGACAAGATCGTCGCGTCGCGAATTGTTTTCTGTGGGTGCCAAGGCAACGCAGACAACACGTGTTAAAATACACTGCTTATTTACGCGTAATTCGAACACGCGCGTGACAACGTACCCGGAGCGATTTGATATACCAATATATGCATTCAACTCCTTATGTTACCTCATTATTCACGAATAATTGTTGGTACACATAACACCGATTTATTCCATTCAGGTTGAAAACAACAACGTACTGCACATGCGCACAGCCGTGAACACACTGACATTTGGATACCTATATGTCAGGTAAACAGTGATAGTTTTATCCGAGAACAACGTTTGTAAATCTATAGATCTTCGTCTTCCTAATCCCCACTGAAACCAAATAGCTACTGAGTATATATTATTTAGTGTCATTGTAATTCCATGTCAACACCTGGTGTCATAGGGATGCTAGAAACGCGACATTTATTTAAACTTAGTGATATTAACAGTCTCAATTTAACTCAAAAATGAAATCAGTCTTGCAGGAAAAAACAAACCGCCAAACGTTTTCAATAAATCTATAAATTAAGCTTTTTTCTTCCATTAATTTGATCGACATTCAATTTTTCTACTGAATGTGCGCCTACTTCATATGGATCGAAGAGTGAAAAGAAGCTAAACGCAAAATGAATCGTGACAGAATCGATCTGTGCTCGATTATAGTAGTTGCTGGCCCGGAAACGTTCACACCCCGCAAACTCGCCCTCATTTACATAAAACGTGATCGATTTCTAAATAAGTATTATCGCTAGAATGCTACCTGCGTCATCCACAGAGCACAAACAGTAGAACAAATAGTACTCGAGATATCCAAAAACAGCGGGATTAATAAAACAGACGAAGTGATCGCTTATCTTTGCTAAAGACAGATCGCCTGCCATGACTAGTCTTTCGCAGGCTGTCGTTATCGTTGATCGTGTCTTTCAGATAAATTGGGGCATTGAAAATAAACGAAGCTGTCGTCTGTGCATATACGATTTTAACAAAAGCGAGTTGCGCTGAGGTCAATCCAGATATCCACATCGACGGATTACTTTGATATCGATCGTTAATGTACGCTTCGATCAAATGTCTGGGTGCATGTATGGCTCTCATCACCGTCGATGTCGCTCCGGGCTTAAGTTCATTTCAACAGAAAGCCGTGACCTGCATTGTGAAATCAGTGATTATCTAAGTCACATAGTTATACATAAATAGTTAGTACTTGGACAGCTTAAGTTTTCTTAAATATCCCACATATATATCACATGGATGTACGCAAAGTCATGCTCAGATTAATAAAACCCTCGCCTTCGTGACACTCGACACTCGGCTCGGTTATTGTCATACACGTAATTACCACAATATTATTTTTTTTATTAAAGATTAGTTGGTAGTTTTTTTGTAACAGAATATTACCTCAACAGATATCAAGAAGACGTCCCAACACATACGGCTGTCTGATTGGTCGAATTGGATGAGCAATCTTGGAGGTTTGCATTAACGGATTTTGATGAGAAGTGACGTTTTTGTAATGATGTTATGATACGGCATTTCGGGCTGAAAGATGGCTATCATAACTGAAATGTTTTCTAAATATTCCCGTGACCTCGGTGACCTCCCATCTGCGTTGCCTGGTCGCCATCTGATTTGTGGGAATGTACATTACTCGTCGGGGCAGGCTCTTCCACCAACTCCTTCATGAATCGAATTAGTCACGACTGTTCCACGGTTGTATCGCGCTCGTTGCTGGGATTTGGCGATAATGAGATTGTTTATTACTTCAGCTCTCTTATTTAATTTAGGCACCGAATGCGGCTAATTCCGACGCGGTCAGTGTAGTTGTTCTTAAAGTTGCGCACCGAAATGAAATTGCAATTCTCTGAACGAAATCGTGATTGTAGCACGATCGCACACTCTTAGCAAGGATTTCCGGAAGACTTTCTAGACCACGAACATTAGCCATTGGGTGCAAGCAAGCACGTCGTTTTAATCACTCCTATTTGATGCTGCCGGTTTTGATTGCAACTTTAAACAGAGCCGGTCGAGTGGCACAAAGCGCAGCACGTTTTTTATTAATCGCTTAGAAGTGGCGATCGGGCGTCTCAAGATCCGACTTATTAAATCGTATGCGTACAAGCATAGTGATAGGTGTATGCGGGCGATTGATATCATTGATAGCCTCTGTAAGTCTTGCTATTGTACAGATACGAGTATTTGAATGAAAGAGAAACGCCACATGTGAGACGGATTCACCCGAGGACATGGAAAATTGAGCAGCTGATGTCATCAGACTGTTTAATTCAGCGCACGAAATTGTCTCGTTTTATTTTATAGTTCGAACTGAAGACTGTGAACTACGTCTGTTATACACATTGTAACTCTTGCTGAAGGTCGTATACTTAGTACATTTCTGTGTCATAACTACAGTTGGCTCAACTTGAAAACGGTTCTTTTGATGAGATACATTGAAACTGAATCTTGCGAATGATATTATTAACAGCCATTGGCATTAATTTTAACCTATTTATATAACCCCGGATCAAACCGATTTTTTGTGAGGGGAATTTAGTTTTAAGAGCAAAAGAGGAAATAGCTCAAATTTCGGCGTCCGCGTACTGGGACCATGATGCCTGACAGATTGGTGAGCGTTGCGTTTCTATGCTGGATCTTGATCATTCTCCTTCTGTGCTCACTGATCGCGACCGCCGTTTCCAAATGTCCAGAGGGGGAGATTTACGACGTCACTTGGCGTAAGTGCATCAGCTGCGATATATGTCCGGAATTCCCGGACACCAAGATATGCCAGAACTGTACGGGGTATTTCCGAAAACGAGGTAGGTAGTTATTTATACACTATTGCAAATAGAGGAACTCATTTCTCCCAGCTAATTGTGTTGCTACATCACCAAAACACTTTTTCGTGAAATTCGGTACATCTTCATTCCACAATACAATCATATCATATCAATCATTGTCATATTTTATTTTTATTATTCATAATGTCGTTCTCTGGTCCGTGACCCCGACATATTCGGCACATGTACGTGAACAAGGTGTATTTAGCTTGTACCAATACATTAAGTCGAAGCATGTCTGTCCCAAACGCATCTTTAAACAGCGCATATACTAATTTGTATATGTTCTCTATTACTGAAATGGAGCTAACAGCGTCAATGCCCCAAGGCCACATATTCAAGATAATGTGAGTGTGTTGGTGAACTATAAAATAATATATGTATACAACAGCTTTGCTCTTATATATCGTCTGTATCAAATGAACTTCAGTGCGTTTTCGAGATGCTTGTGTTTATGATATAAAAAGAAACAGACCGACTACGAAAGATTAAGTCAAGTCATTCGTGCAGTATACTTCG